ATCTATAAAGTGCAGCTGTTGGTGATTTTATACCAGTAATAATCAACACAATTAGGACCTTAATACGTTGATATATAGTTCTATGATCATAGAAGAAGACAAGACATCCCTATAGGGTGGTGGATTTACTATTTCTTTCTATCCTTTCAGAAAGAGAAAGGCTATGATAGCTGAAATGCTAAAACCTCAAATGTGAAACGACTTACGCTTTCTATAGATAAAGTAGGTTATACACTCTAGGAAACTAATTATATAACACGCTTACAACCAATAATGGAAATAATCCATATCAGCTTAATTTGACCACTAGATAAACTGCTTTCTTATTTTTTTCTGATTTTTATTTATATTGTTTCGGGTATACGAAATTGATTATTCATTTCTAATAGTTTTTTTTTTATTCTTTAACTCTTTTTCTTGTTATTTGTGCTTTTCATCTAATTTGGTGTATTTGCTAAAGATACTCTTATGCTTAAATTAATTCAAAATTTGAACGATTTAATAATTAATAATACAATGAATGTGTCGTAAAAATCTAAACAATCATACATTTAACCTGTATTTATAGGTTTCTCCGTATGTTTTTTTATTAGGTATACCTAATCATCATGACCCGATTTTTTTAAACCTTATTATTAACCTTTTTAATTAGCTTAATGGAATAGTTGATTAAATCTAATAAATATCGATCGATTTCATTCTAATGTAGACAATAAATTTAATGTGATTTGGTCGATTTATACATGATGGTACATATATAGTTCAATACATATGATATTACAATAAATTTGTCTTTCATTAATTTAAAATCAAATTAACTTGAATGTGATATGTTAATACACTTCTAATTATAAATTACCAGGATTTTAATTTATAAATATTCGTGATATTAAAATTAAACTCACACGATATTGAGTAAACGTTATTCAATAGTGTTTTTAAACTAAGCGTACGGTCTCCGTTTTTTAGTTATGCTACTTTACGTATTAACAATAAGCTTAGCAACATAAATTTGTGGTGTGTAGTGGATAAGACAAACTAATTTATTACACAGAGTACTATGGAATGATTAACAATATTGCCATGTGTAATTATTTGATGAATGATGAAAGTAATTAGACTGCTCATTGCGTTTAATTAAAAGAGTGGAGAAGGAAGAGGCAAAACTTAGTTTAATAAAAACATTAGAAAGTGGCAAATTAGACAACACATTGAAGCGTTTAATTGCAAATTTATGATACGTCATTGTATTTTAATAGAAAGAAGCACCTTTTGAACTAACGAGTTGGAGTATTGTGTTAATCAGGTGCGTGAGATAAATTTTAAAACTAATTGCGTTGCGAGCTAGTCATAATTTTGTAGGTGACGTGTCTTTAAGGTTAATTAATTAGCTTGAAGTTTAAGACACACAATTAATAAAGAAGTTTATATGAGCACTACAATGATACTTTTGGATCTCTTTTGGAAGAGCTAATTAAATTTTATTTTATTATTATTTAGCTTTTATCTGGGAAATTTTCTATGGTAGGATTTGTACAATCCTAATTCAAGGACACGCGTGATTTTGATGTCAAATCACTTTCCTTTTAAATTGTTACATTTTTTTTTTCAATTAAAAAAACCATCCAACTTTTCTTGATTATAAATCGGTAAACTTTGTAGTACTGTTGGATATGTTTAATTTTTAAGGAAATTTATTGGTGGAGATTCATTATCTTTAATCTAAAAGTTGAAAATAATAGTTTAATACGACATTTACTTAAATAATGTTTCAACTCGATTCTAAAAAATCTATGATTTTCATCTCATAATAAATTTTAATTATTTATCTTTATTTTTACACGTAAATATTTTTTATATTAAAACATTTGTTTTTCAAACACAAGTATTTTACTAATAGCCCTTTTCTTTGTCACTTTTTTCAAAATGGAAGACTCCTTTTTCTAAAAGTAATCATAAACTTTAAAAATTTTCACTTTATTTAATATCATACTTGTAATTAGCAAAATGAACTCGATTCTACCATCATTAGTGGATATTTTGAAAAAAATATAATTGGGAAGACTTAACAAAAATGAAACATTAACTCCACTTACAAAATTGACATCGTCTTCAACCTTCAACCTATATGTTTTTATATTTTCTTTTTTATAAGATAATTAACTTTAAACTATATTGAGATTTTGTCAATCGTCAAACCAAATTTTCTTAATCTATAAAATCCTTGAGTTGGAGTATAACTATCCCTACTAACAATCAACGTGTGGATATCTCTTTTTATTGTTAACACAGTCTAAAAGTATATATTTCTTAAAATTTGGATCCAACTTTATTCTTTTTTTTTTAAATCGTACATTACAATCAAATACATGTAAAATAGAATAATAAAGTGATTTGATATTGAAAATGTTATAAAAAATGACTTATAAGTTGGGGTTTTGATGCTTAGGTGAAGCTAAAGGGTAGAAGAAGCAGTGGAGGTATTTTGTTAAGAAAAGAAGGCGTAACGAGGGTTGAATGTACGAGAGGTTTGGTATATATGCGTGGATTTGGAACAGTACAAGTGTCTGTGATGATTGATATTTGGAAGATGTGTTGGCGCATGGCACGAAGGAATGAAAGAATGAAGATGACGTGTGAAACTGAGTGGTGGTTGAAAGAGGTGTGGGAAGTGATAAGATGGTGTTGGGAAATAGGGAAACAGAATGGGACCCTTATGCACTTCAAAGGTCGCTCTCAATGCCTTCCTTTTAGCCCGTCAAACCTCCAACACCACCCATCATTCTCTCACACCCTTCCATCCATAAAGTGAAAAACGTCACTCCCACGCTCTCCTTTCATACTAACTCTTCCACCACTTTAACAAAATCTCTTCTTCTACTTAACTACTATTAATATTTCAATATCTGTAGGGGTCATTCTAAATAAACGTTCAAGAAAGAAAATCACGTGCATGTATTTTGCAACTTCATTTCTATCGTTTATTCATTGTCAATTCAGGTATTAAAAAAAGCGACAGATTCATTCCCTTTTTCTGAAAAGTTGCACCATTTTTTCTACGAATCATTCATAGTGTTGGCGAACGATTAGATACCTTGGCGGATCCAAAACATTTCGGTGACTGTCACGATTCACTTTTTCTATATTATATTCGGGCCATGGTAAAAATAAATAAAATCGATTTGGTTGAAAAAATCGAAAGATACACAAAGTTTTAACTATATACTGTGAACAGAATTAATCTGCAACTAATGTAATGCGTAGGAACCATTTTAATATATCTATAATCAGTGACGTTAAATTAATACAGTGAATATACAATAAGAATACCTTTATTTAGCAAGACGTGCACTCGAGTTAGAAAGCAAGAAAGGAAAAGTACTTTTAGATAAAGCCTCAATTAATGTGGTTACTTAATTATTTCTAACCATCATTAATACAAAGTCAAAAAGATATTTAAGAAAAAACATAATAGATTATAAATTAATTACGTAAGTTTTTTTGTTTATATTTTTTATTTCTTTCAAATATTATCATTACAAATGCAAAGCAATAACAGGGACTGTACGTTCTGAGATGAGTTGATGATTACACCAATAAGCTCGCTTCTTTATTGCTTAAGAAATGATAAATCAGTTTTTTAATGTTATAAAATGTTTATATTATATTACTTAAATATATTCGGATGCTAAGTTTAGGAAAAGTAAAAAGATATATAACATAAATTGATTTTTTATTACATTGAAAAAGTAAGAAAGAGATAATCTAACGTAGATATTTGAAGGTAAAGATGAGTGTGTGAAAAGAGATTTTTGTAGCTTTTGTTTTTTCTCCGTATTTCTTGACGTTAACGTATCGTAAGAAGTAGAATATATAATTAGCTCGTGCAGAGGGACGTGACTTTTGGTGCAACGAGCTGTGTTTATGTCGCACCCAGCGCACACTGGATATATATATAGCAACAGTATCTTTTGGTTGAAACTTGGAAATAATAGTGGTAACCCAAAATAAGAAAAAGAGTGAGAAAAAGGAAGTCTAGTGGAATATGTGAATGTGACAGTGATATTTTCGATTTTGCTGAACTAAATAAAACCTATTTCTGTAATAATATAGAGGGACTTTCAAAAGGAAGTTAGGCAAAGCAGATCACGTATCTTGCTGAGCAATTGAGACTGGATCTTGTTGTCCAGTGCTACTCTTTGTCCTTTCTATTGCATACAGCATCTCATGATAAAATATATTAGAAGAAACAAAATAAACTTAAAGAGAGTCATATATATATTGTTCATGAATCATGGATTAAATGCCAACCCTTTTAACTGTTAATAATCAGTAGTACTGCGGAAAGATGACAAAGAGGGTGAGATGATTCATATAGAAATTGATTACCATAAGAAATCCTTGTGCACAGGTACCAAACATCATTCATTTGCACGTAAGAATTGGGTTTTACTTGAGAAATAATCTTAACATAATTAATGATTCATTGTTACTCTTAATTATTCATTATTACCCAGTCGAAAGTTTTGGCAAAAAAACACCAAAGTCCACGAGCCACTTAATAAGGACAGGAGTAATTATGAGAAATGAAAACCGGAAAAGTAAAGGGGGAAATGTCCAAAGGAATTGCGATGAGAGATGATGGATGGAATGGCTGGTGATATAATTAATTAATATCTACCGTATTGGTAGGTTCAAATCACATAGTTTGTGGACCATCCGACATGGGTGGTCTCAACTCTCAATCAAAATTAGTGGGTATCACTAATAGGAAGAAACTGATGCACTAACTCAACTACGTTTCACTGACCATCGTAGAAAAGTCTGAGCTCAGCTGCTGCTATAAACAACTTCATTAATATATTAATAATTGCTGATCATTTTCGCTTGGTCCAAGTCCACGAGTACTTAAAAATAAACACATAATAGTCTTACGTTATGTTAAAAATAAGAAATGATCAAACAACCTAGGTATGGGTTACCTTATATATAAGGTATGTGGCTTTTAGTTGCAGACAGGAGTGCTTTGTCCTTGTGTGAGATTCCAAAGCAGGGCAATCCATGAAGGCAACACTGCGATACTTAGCAGGCATTGCTGGCCCAAGTGGTTTCGGCTCAAATTCAACAGCCGAACAAGTCACTCAAGATTTCTCTTCCTTGCTCCCTTCAAATCTAACCGCTCTCATCACTGGTAACTCACCATACAACAACAACAACAACAATATATGTATCACCAAAAATGCTTACATATCACGGTTCAGTTCCATTCGTATTTTTGTCACCGTTTCTAGTTTATAATTAAGAATAAAAAACGGTTATTCCGATCTTCCAATCTGTTTTTCAAGAATCTTATCAGAACGATGGTGTTGTCCATCACTTAATTCTGAATATTCGTGAAAACTTTCTACTGGCCACTTTCTTTGTGATATTATATATATATATATATATATATATATGTAGCCATAAGCTGTCACAGTGTCACTTACATTTTCATTTGTACTTGCTTAATCTACGTTTGTTCTGTCTGTGTCAGACATCTCTATCCATCTTTTTGTTTTACCTAGGATTATGTTAAATGTGTAGGAATTTACCACCTACTTTCACCTAAACAAATGTGTTGTTGTTTTCAAAGTATGCGGGATTAGCTTAATTAATGAAGTTGTTGTAATGTTCGGTTGAATTTTGAATTGAAGGTGCGACTTCTGGAATCGGAGCGGAAACAGCAAGAGTGTTGGCAAAAAGAGGAGTGAGAGTGGTGATTGGTGCGAGGGACTTGAAAAAGGCGAGGGAAGTGAGAGAGAAAATTCAAAAGGAGAGTCCTGGTGCTGAGGTTATTCTGCTGGAGATCGATCTTAGCTCTTTTGCTTCTGTACAGAGATTTTGCTCAGAGTTTTTAGCTTTAGAATTGCCCCTTAATATTCTCATGTAAGTTCTACTTTTTTCATGTTTTTTCCTTCATTTCATTAGATAAGAACTAAACGTCGGAATGGAATACATTTATTTCACAGAAACAATGCAGGAATGTACTCTCAGAACTTGGAATTCTCCGAAGACAAAATCGAAATGACATTTGCTACAAATTACTTAGGTACTTCTCCATTCTCACCTTTTTCTTGCACACCATTTAAAGAAGCAAAGTCGAGCATGGTTGAAAATACTCTCAATGATGCTTTGTTGTCGATTCCAACAAATTACCTACAGAATTGCAGAAGAAAATAGATGAAAAAATAATTCTATATTATTTGTTAAATTGCAGGACATTTTTTGTTAACGAAAATGCTGGTAGAGAAAATGATAGATACGGCAAAGAAGTCAGGCATTGAAGGAAGAATAATAAACGTTTCTTCTGTGATTCATAGCTGGGTGAAAAGATCCACGTTTTGTTTCAACGACATGCTCTGCGGAAAAAAGTACAATCACCATACCATTTCGTCCCTTTCTCTGCAAAATTTTGATCAAATTTGATTTCCTTAAATTTAGATACCAATCATCTTAATTAATTTTAAATAACAAATGCAGTTATAATGGCACACGCGCATATGCTCAGTCAAAACTGGCAACAATTCTGCATGTGAAGGAAGTGGCAAGACAACTGCAGGTTAGATCATGACACGTAACTTAATTATTCCTTTATTTTATTGTATTATTTGTGTGGAATCGTGAACACCACGCCCATTAAATTAAACTATTAAATATCATAAAAGTTTTCAGAGAAAACGTTTTATAAATTTCTAATTAATTTTTGGGTGAGATCATAGGAAAGGAATGCAAAGGTAACGATTAACGCAGTGCATCCAGGAATTGTGAAGACGGGAATTATCAGGGCGCATAAGGGCTTGATAACGGGTAATTAATTAAATAAGTTGTATTAAGTCATTTTCATAAGGTTATAAAGCAACTAAATACTAATAAAATTTCCATGCAGATTCCCTGTTTTTCATTGCATCCAAGTTACTGAAATCGATATCACAGGTTTGTAAATATTTTAGTGCTTAATTAATGATGAGTTTCCATTATGAGTATGATTGATTAATTAATTAATTAATAAGTACATGAATGCACGTTGGTAGGGAGCATCAACGACGTGTTATGTTGCGCTAAGTGGAAAAACGGAAGGAGTGAGTGGAAAATATTTTACAGATTGTAACGAGAGTAACTGCTCGAGTCTTGCAAACGAGGAATCAGAAGCAAAAAAGCTATGGAATGATACCTATGCATTGCTTCACAAACGGTTACGTCAAGCAACAAATTGAAACACTTTTTTACCCATTTTCTATACTTCATGCTCTTTCACACCGTGTCAATATTTGTAATTAATTATCTTTTCACGTTAAATAGCACCCATTACAGAGTTCTAAAAGAGTAGCCCAAAACGACATATATTGTACAAATTAGTTACCAAATAAATTCCCACAATTTTTAGTAAAACTACCAAAAAAAAATGTGGCATTGCTTGAGGGATGGCTGAAGAATTCCTAAAAGGTGCTATGTTTAGGAGAGAGTAAAGAGTAGAACTTCAGATGATTAAGTTATTTGTAAATTAGTCAACCTAATGCTTATCATACTCGTTTATCTAACATAACATACATATTTTGCGCCAATTTAAGTTCAATTATTTTAATGTTTTCAAGTAAGTTTTAGTTTAGTGTTAATAGCTTTTTTATACGTATTTACTATCTTGATATCATTTATTTAATTTAAATTTTCAAAATGCCACTTTTGATATGACACCACAAACTATTTTGTGGAAAAAAAATCTATATTTTTTTTTCATTATTGAAGACTTTATTTAATCTATTTTTTCCTTGGTTTCTAGAAATTCGATTGGAGATGCGCGCTAATAAAATATTAATAAACAAAGTATATCAATGAAAATTTAAAAGAAGAATAATTAAATCATAAATGAATTACAGGAGTCAAAATTCAAACTTCATTTTTTATTTGTTAAAATAAAGTCAGGATTTAAATTTTATTTACTTACATAAAGAGTTAAAATTCTATTTTTCATTCTTTGTTGTTCCAAAAATTTGGGCTGTCTAGGACTCAACTTCACTCTCCACACGTGCAACAAACAATTTATTTATTATTAAATAGAGGAGCCTTAAATTTAGAATGTGTCAGTCTAATAAGATACTTAAAAATTTTACATGAAGTTGGTGTAATCAATTTTCTAAACCGACAATAATCTTTTGGCGTGACTTGATCCTATATCAAGCCAATCATTTTTATCCTTTTTTTTAATAATACAAATTTAAATAAAATAAAAACAAAAATATATTTTTAAAACTTAAGTCATATTATTGAATTTAAATTTTAGATTAATTATTTAAAATATAAATTATATTAGGTGTTTTAAAACAATGATATTCGTTTTATTTTATAAAAAGGCTTCGTATATAAATTAATTAAGATAACAATCTTATAAGATTAAATATCCAGTAGTGTTTGATTAAAATTTTCGCGGCTTATAAATTTTGATAGATTTTTTTCGATAAATTTCACTTGACGTTTTGGTAAGACATAAATATCACACTAATTAAACAATTACATTTCAAAACTTTGAAATTTTTAAGATTCTCTTTTGTGTTGTTAAACTTCTTGTTTTTCTTTCGTCATATATTATCCTTTTTTTTTAATTCATTGAAAGTGATTTAGATATTCTTGTGCAATACCTTCTAATTTTTTTCATGAATAATGTTCTTCTTTATTTTCAATTGAATCAGTTTCTAATCTTGGGCAACACCTTCTAATCTTTTTTTGATTGATTTTGTCCTTGTTTTATCTACTTAGCCATAAAGATAAAAACACGAACAAATGAATCAAACAACCAGGGTTCACCAAAATTCTTCCCTTTTTAAAACCATATTTACGTCGCAAAGAAATGGTTTACAATCCACCCGCAACACTCTTCGAATTCAAATCCAACAATAACATTTTCTCGACATTAAAACTAAGAATCTGAGAGAACAAAAGGCGCGTTGTTGTTTGTCCCTTCTTCCACCAGGCAAAAAGTGCAAGAAAAGTTCTGATCTTGTAGTTGAATGTTACGTTTCCTCAAGTTGTGACCCGTGCGTATGGTTATTTCGTCAACAATTCATAATTATTTCTACTAAACTTTAATATGGACGAGCCCGGGCTTGAAACAATCTTACCTAGAATCAATCTCAAAAGTTCAATACAATAAATGGTTAAATTGAAATTCTTGAACACTAGAGGCAAACGAAAGATCATAAGAACCATTCGAATACATTGCTTCACTTACCTAGTTTAGCAACAAGCTAAACAATCTAAAGAAAAATGGATATTACAAGATGTCGACAACTTTTAAACTACAACAAATCTCCTGTCTCCCAACATAGTTTAACGTTTGACCCGTTTAGTGAAGATCATCTGATTAATATGTACAGATTGAGACATCTAGAATGCAGAAATGTCTGGAATTGTGTCAATTTGTTAGCACTTGACAACCTGAGTCATGAGTTATGGCCTACAAGAGAATTTCAGAGACCTCGGTCTGTATCAACAAATGACGAGGTCAGCACCCCCCTCAACTTTCTTTCCTAGCCTGTAATATATAAACGAGACAGGTATTGGCTGTTGTTGTATGCATACATAGACATATACAAGAATTATATCAATTTATTCTCAATTAAATGATGTCAAAATAGATATTACAGCAAACCCCTACATCCAATCTATGCACCGCAGGGCCCAAAAATGCATTAAAGATAAAAAGGAACAGTTGGATACTACTGAAGAAGGGCCAATGTACATAAAACAGTAGGCCGTAGCAATTATTCCAAGAATGATAATTATATTTCAGATCCAGAAAAAAGACCTACAAAAGAGGGGAATCCAATTAAGTGGAACAATTAAACCTAAAGATGTAATTGAGGATCAGTGTCAGATAAAAAAGGAAAAAGTCAGCCACATAACGAAGGGGAAAAAATCACCCTTCCTCATACACTTTTCCATCTGACAAGAAATTTGAGTGTGAGAGAACAAAGTTCATAAGAATTTCCTCTTTTCAGTCCTTGTTATAACTTACAAGTTATAGGCAAAACCAATTCAGTTCCAATCTAAAAAACTAATGGGGCCAAAGTTAATTCCACTCAATTAAGCTAATTCAAAACATAACAATTCAATTACTAATATAAAACTCTCAGTATCTACAGCGCATATATCAAAAATAAAATTTGATATTCTGAGTCAGGTAAGCATTGCCATCTTTCTCTAAGCTAAGATTGATTAATGACACCAAGAATAGATAAGAAAAGATATAAAGGGACTGACTTCTTAACCATTCATTTTGTTGGTCAATGGTCAACTACAACGGGAGAGATTATTCTGTGAAGAGAATGATCTTGAATGATAATGCTGTATGGCGAGACAGGAATTTTAAGTCAAAAAATACAGAATTTGAGAACTCATACCTTCAAACGAGGAGACTGGCGAACAGATGATGCAGATCCAGGAGATAAAACTGCTTTTAGCCTTCTATTAACATGTTTTTTTCCAACTTTTGTATTACCTTCTGTAGGCTCAACTTGATGCTCATTTTCCTTGCCCGGAAAATCACTTCTAACAGATGACATTGACAAAACTGGAGCAGATGTAGAGTTAAAAGCAGACTCTTCATGTTCACCAGCTGTCTCGACTAAACTCCCTGTTTTTATGTAATTTTAAAAAATAACATTCATAATAAGCAGCGTTTTCACCAATGTTCCAAAAACTAGAAAAGTTGTTCAAATGATTAAAAGTGTCTTAGCATAACATAATATAAGCTCATTCCCTTGAGTGTGAACATAGGCACATAATATTCTCATGTTTGCCATGGCTTTTTCAAAATTATCCTTGACTGTTGATTCCTAAGAAAGTTGCATGTGTTTTTTCTTGCACTTTTTTTATTCCCAGTGGGAGGTGTTAAACGTACCCTGAGAATATGCAAAGTTATATTCTAGAATTCTTGTAACTTCAATTTTCACTTATTTTTTTATTTAAATCATTTGAACCTCGAGTAAGTATTCCTCAGAATATTAAGACTGTAACCAAACATGTTTTTAGAAAATCCAAGAAAAGAGTCTTAGCTACCATATTCTCAGGAATGTGATTACTGGAAGTGTAATATGATACCTTAAAACAAATGCCAACTAAGGAGATGATCACAAATATAGATAGATCAATCCTTCCTAATGACTATGCACGACATCCAAGTAAAATCCTTTCTCCAAACATTGGTTGCATTGTCCTACAACAATGGCTATGGATAAACTATCAGAATTGGCCAAGGCCTATTTGTTTGGCAGATAACTAGCAAGCTGATTCACCTGGTTTTCAGTAATCATGGTTTTAATTTTAAAAAATTAATCAGACTGGACAAAAGCCCAATAAACTTAATTTGCAATTAAGTGCTAAATTCATCTGCCAACATACAGAACTCTCCAATTTCAAGACTGCACTCGTGTAAAAGAATGAAAGAACCATTGTTGTACCTTGTGCCACTGCTTCTTGGAACTTTTTCCTCATTACTCTGACAAATTTAAATAAATCATTTGTGTTGTTTAATTCGTGGATCAACTCTTTGGTTTTACCGAGGGAAGGTTCACAACTTAATACTGAAAGATGAAGGACAAAATTCAGACTTCCAGAAGTATATTCATATACTTTTAAGATCATAAACAAAATCAGATACTATGCTTACATGAATATGTATCCTTTCCATGGAGGATAGTAAAAAAGTACTCCTCATGTGGATTGTTCATATTTATATTCTTGAATGTGAATTTTACCCCTGAAGAGCAGAAGAACTAATTAGGGCATCAATTTGCAGAAGAAAAAACAATTCTTATACATAAAATTAATGCCAACCAATTACCACGTCCGCCTTTTACATGAAAACCAAGGACCGTATTGTACCAGGAAATGACCTCTTGTGTTTCATCTTTCTGTTCAACGCTTTCATTTAGTTCCCCTTCAGATACAGTCAGATCTTTTTATAGTAGCAAAGAGAAGAGGGGTGAGGAAAAATTAGCTTAGAATTGTTTATAATATATCTCCCGATGCAGATATCCAATAGTAAGCAGAACATTGCAAATACATACAAGGTCAAAGATACAAACACAATTCCAAAAGGCATGAGGGCACAAATGACAAAACCATCATAGAACTTCTTTTACAACAGTTGAAACTTAATACATTAAAAATTATATTAAAGATTGCATGATAATTCCTGTCCTAAAAAGTTCTTTGCTTCCAGAAAACGAAACAGAAGATAGACTGCATGTTGAAGTAGCTATTAGAAAAAAATGTCAGTAATTAGGTGTGACAACCTCAACAAAATGTAATTTGAATGCCAATGCAAGACGGCATTCAAAGTTAACTGTTTAGTTCTTGCACAACATTATATAATAAGGGAATGTTAAGAACGTTCACTTTTCCACAATGATTAGATATA